TTTGCCGTCTTGTTGCAACTGTTGGCCTGTTTTTGCTGTCTTGCTGCTACTGTTGGTCTGTTTTTGCTGTCTTGTTGCAACTGCAGGCTTTTTTGCTGTCTGTTGCTATTCTGGTGTTCGTGTTGTGGTTTTGTGACAATAAAGTGACCGACTCCAAATTAGAGTTTGCCTGCCAGTGATTGTCACTTCTATTTTGGTTTATAATCCATCAAATATTTTCACTCGCACGCGATTGATCTAAACACGTCAAGTGACCAAATATTCCCCAGCCAAAACTGGGGAATATCTGAGATTGGTATATACCACACAAGTGAATAGTGCTTTTTGCGCGCTTTGATTGGTTAACTTGGAGGTGATTAGCAAGTACTTTTCACCTCCGAGCAGCCGGCTCGAGAGATTTTAAAATTTCCGACCGCTTGTCACATATAAAATAACGTTTTGGTCCGCTAATTATTTCGCTTGTGTGGTATATACTAAAACAATTATTCACCCCATTGTCGGTAAAAGTGATGGATATTTACCTCACTTCGGCGAATACTTGTTAATTATAATCCACCAAATATTTTTGCTCGCGTGCAATTGGTCTAAATGCGTCACGTGACCAAATATTCCCTAGCTAAAACTGGGGAATATCCGAGAATATTCCCCAATTTTCGAAACTGCGCGTGTTGGGAAAAATATTTGAAGGATAATAAACACAATAGCCTCCATTTGACTTTGAAAATATGCTCGGATATTTGTCCTTGAACATTATCTGTTCCTCGAAGCTCACAGTTTTCCTCAAGCTTCCCTCTCGGAAAACTGTTCGCTTCTCAGAACAGATAATGTCCGCGGACAAACAGCCGAGCATATTTTTGCGCCAAATGGAAGCTATTGTTTGTTTGTAATCTTTTAAATATTTTCGCTCGCGCGCGCCTGGTATAAACACGCTCACAGTTTTCCTCAAGCTACGCTCTCGCAAAACTGTTCGCTTCTCGGAACAGGTCATGTCCGTGGACAATTATCCGAGCATATTTTCGCGCCAAATGGAGGCTATTGTTTATGTACCCATCTGTTTGGTAAATTGTTTTCTAAATTACTCGGCCTCTTTTTGAGATTTTTATCATTTTTCTTTCGCAAACTTTAGATAATATGACGATTTTTTGAGCCCTTGAAGGTGGGAAGTAACCTTAAAGTAAGTAATACGAAATATAAATAACTGTTAATTTAGTGAATAATATAATAACTTAAAAACTTATCAATTGAAAACAATAAAAACAAAAAAAGGTGATGATTAGGTAAATGTAATAATAATAAAACTAATAATATTGTAGTGTATAGAAAGTCATTACGATAAAAGAATCTGATGATGAATAAAACTACATAGCATTATTTACATTTATGACAGCAATTTTGTTTTATGATTTATTATTTGACATCACTTGGCTTATTCCTGAACAATGCCACTACATTGTGTTTGTTGTGGCAACAGTCCTGCATTTCCATGTTGTAATGGCTACTACAGTATTTCTCAAGCCTTTCCAAGATTTTCAAGGCTGCCTTGTAGTCTTTACATCCCTTTAAGTCCTCACATTCAAACTAAAAAACAACCCTCCACTAAAGCATGGAATGTGTTCCACAATCAAACTGATCTAAGTTTGAGTTTGCTTCAAAGGTTATTTTTATTGCTTGTCTTTACCACAGTTTAAATAAAGGCAAGTTCATTACACTAGTCTTCCCTACTTTCTTTATTCTATACTTTGTGTAGCTTGTATTGTTGTCATGCTCATTTTCCTAACGCACTAGGAAATGGTATGCAGAACATGTGCAAAACAAGTGTTTACTACAACCAAACACTAAACTATTTACTGGAGAAAATAATTATTGTTTCCTGCTGTTATTGTTCTGAAATTATTTTTGTCTCTGCTTGAACCACTTTATAAGACTTGCTTACAAATCAAGTCACAATCAAAATTCACCCTTGTGCAATATTTTTGGAGTATAGCATCAAAGGTTTTTCTCTCCATTGTTATGATCACATGTCTGTTCCTTTTTCATAGCATTTTTTAACCTTTACACATCTCAGACTCTAGTGGTGGTCTACAAGCTTCATTCTGCTTCAATGTACTAAGCAGCTCTTGCTCTCAACTGACCATAGCTGCCCTGTATTATCCATTTTTAGTGGTTTTATTTGTGGTTAGTGTAATAATACTGGGTGAAAACTTTGACGCTAGCTCCAGACATTCTGCAGAAATTCCCCTACTTTGCCTGGTTTTGTACATCTTTATTGGTATATTGT